CAGACAGAGGAGGTTATGAAGGACAAATAAGACACTCACACAGTTTGTCTGATAAAACTTCCTTCAGGCTGATAATGTTTAACACATTTAGTCTCTACTAAGGAGACTAAGTGAGATATTTTATGGATATTTCTTATTATATTCAATAATAACAATAATAGATGAATATATAAACTCAGTAACTGCAGGAAGTTTGTGTAAAACGAGCGGTTTGGATGAATTTTGAGCAGATTATTTCCTTTTATTATTGATCACAGATGAGTTTTACTGGTATTTTTAGTAACTTTTTATACAATTCTCTGTCTTTATTGTGTATTTTGTTATTATTTTAATCATTTCCAGTGAGCCAACATGACTCCTTAACACCTGTATTTACCCGACTGTTCATGTCAAAACAGCTGCTGTGAAAAAGGTCAACTGACTGCAGTTTCTCCTCTGAACAGTAACATCAGTTTGACCACAGCAGAGGCTAATCTCCGAGGATATTTGGTCATTTTAATCAATTTCAACGAGTTTTCATGACTTTAAAACTAGTTTCTACATTTCCAGGTTTTCCAGGCCCCGTTGGAACCTTGATTTTAGATTTAAAAACAGTCCAGGCTGGTTGAGACACAGTGACACTGTTGGCTCACCCCTCAGCAGCGGCAGGGCGCAGTCCTGCAGCTCCATGACGACTCCGTCCAGAACGGGCAGCATGGGCGGGATGTCCAACAGGACCAAGATGATCGGCTGAAACACCAAACACGGATTATTTTACTAAACTGTCTCATCTGGATACATTCAGGGACACTTAAAAGAAATGTTTTATGTTGTAATGTGGCCACAGAATCACGTCTTTTTAAATTATAATGAACAAACGCCACATTTTACTTCTTTCTGAACATTTCTCATCAGGTTAAAACTTTATCAAACTTTCTAAAAAGGTTTTTTTCAGACTTTCAGAGGTTTCTCACACTTTTATTTTACAGTCCTACAACTGGTTTCATTAATATTTCATTACTGTATTGTTACGGCACATTAAATATATAAAAATGTGTCTCTAGTTATCTGAATTATGTTATAATCTGTTCTTTAACAGCATTGTTACTTTACTTTTAGCACATAATGAATGTAATAATACAATTTAGGGAAACAAAGAATGAATAAATGGTGGAAAAACTGCTCAGTAAAGAGATCTTATCACCAAACCCCATTCAAAAAACTGTGCAATGTAGCTTCATCTTCCATCCTGGCAATAACAGACAGCATTTAACTGAATTTAAGAGTTTTTCTAATATTCCTGATGACGCTCTTTAATCCGGCATTCAGGATTACAATACAGCTGTTAACCTAAAAACACTCTGTCTTCTGTTTGAGGCTTTATTACGACACCTTCCTTCATCGTCAGCTGACAGCATCCTCTCACTGAAACATGTATTATTCACAGTGAATCCATTACGTAACACCGAGCATCGGCCGGTCGTCTGTGCAGCGATCGGCCTCAGGGTGAGGAGGGGGGGCTGCAGGTTACGTAACCAGAGTTCAGGTCTTACCTGGTCCTTTCCGAACACATCTCCCTTGGCGATGCTGTACAGCAGGGAGTAGGCGATCTGGCCAGCCGCGCCGGTCACCACAACACGGATTGGTTCAGCCTGGAGGGAAACAAACAGGTTTGGTTCATGAGTCTCTGACCTAGATAAATAACAGAGGGAGGAGGAACCGGAGCGGCAGTAACCGGCATTGTTGGTGTGAACTGGCTGGATCACTTCGATGTTATAAAGCCTGTATTTAACGGATGGATCCTCAAAGTGAGGCTGCTGGTTCACGAGGCCTCTGTCAGTGGCTCCTCCTCCTCCTGTGGCCCTTTGAATGAGGAGGACTTGTAACCGAACTCCATTAAGAAAATGGTGATATGTAGAATGACCTTGCGTATTGGAAAGGGTAGAGAGGACATTCAGTTTAATTTTAGATCTTGGTTTTAGTGGTGGATGTCACTCTTTAATTCGGCACGCGTGCCACCAATCAGACTGCAGATAAACTTTTCCAAAAACTCTGCTTTTATTATTTATCACAGACTTGTTACCAAACTCCATAAAGAAAAACCTTAAATGTAAAATGACCTTGCGTATTGGAAAGGGAAGGTAGGACATTCAGGTTACTTCTAGAGATCATCTTCAGTAGTTGATGTCACTGTTTAATTCGGCCTGCGTGCCGCCAACCAGACTGCAGACAAACACTCAGCTTTGATGACTGATCACACAACTCTGCCGCTCTTCGCTGTGCGGACTAATGAATAAAAAAGCGCCAAATCAGCGCTTTAACAGATGCATAGTTCTTTATATTAACGCCGAAATAAACTACGTGTTCAGTACGTTCATAAACGAACTCGCATTACATGAGAACTGCATGCATCTCGTCTGAGGAGCAATGAATCGTTAAATTGTCAGATTTGTGAACGGAGATTTGCACAGGTGCTGCTGTGACAGGATGAAAGAGCAGGCCGATGATGCCACCCCGCCACAGCCTGCTCATTCAATAAAACGCAGATGCATTTAATGCACAGCGGTTATAAAAAACAGCTAAAAACAACAACATTATTACATTATAACATTAAAGCATTAAAGTCTGCAGTTAAATCAAAACGCCGCTTTTCTTCCTCAATGTCAACTGCACCACTGTAGCTGACATTAAAACGCTTTATATTATATAAACGCGTTAATAAAGGTGGTTTACTGCGTTAATTAACGGGCTTACCATTTTCTGGTACCGGGAGGAGATGCTCTGGGTGTACGGTGGCTCGCTGCTGTCAGGCGGACTGGACGGGAGGGTCACCTCTATCCTGCTATTGTAGAGTCAGGCGGTGACACGAGTCTTCCCGCGCTCGCTACGGGACTTGTAGTCGTTTTTAGGACACGAATGAGGCGTTTCAAGCGGGTCGAGTCACCGCGGGGAACACACTCTCCCGTGATGCACCGCTCTCTGGTCTCGCCGCGCCATATACGGAAGAGGATTTTATGAAAAAGAGCCTTTTTTTTTTTAATGCGAACGCTCAGAGGCGCGTTTGGCGACACCTGGTGGCCGAGAGGAGGTACTGCAGCAGGGCGGCGCTGCACCATGGGTGGGACATAATTTATGGATATTTCTTATTATTTTTTAATGCACAACAATAACAGTAGAGAGCATAAAATAAACTGTATAATTAGCACAATTAGTGAACACAATAACAGGGTTCTCACTCTTTTCCAGGACCTTTTCCAGGAGTTGTTTGCTCACAAACAGTCGTATAATTTACCAGTTGACTTTAACTCCAGTTTGATCCAGTTTGTGTCTCACTTATAAAGGCGATCTGAGTGAGGAGCTAAAATATAATAATCATTTTTCAGGACAACATCCATCATTTTCAGGTAATTTGCTGAATTTAATCAGTTTCCAGGTGTTTCCATGACCGGAAAACTAGTCTCTAAATTTCCAGGTTTTCCAGGACTAACTATAACTGCAGGAAGTTTGTGTGAAGCAAGAGATTTAGAGGAATTTTAAGCAGATTATTTCCTGTGAATGTTGATCCGAGATGGCTTTTTCTGTCTTGTATCTATATATTTAAATGCTGTTTGTATTTGTCTTTTTTGTGACAAATTCAAGTGTTTTCTCCTCATTGTTCTATCAGTTCTTTGTCTGTTCATCTCTGAAGCTCTGTGTTCATAAATAATAACCTAAACTTTAAAAACACACAGAAATAAATGAAATAAATTAGATAAAGACCTTAAAACCCCTTAAACTCAAGAAGACCTTACGACCCTCTGGATCCTGAATCCCTGTTAGGCGGCACTATGAGCGCCGCTGTGTACGACGTTAAGCAGCTTCACTGAATGATCCTTTAAGTGACTTAAAGGTCCCATGAAACGGAAAAGTGCTTTTTCTGAGTGTTAATTTAATGTTCTGTTGTTATATAAAGCCGACCGGCTCCTGTTTTAAATCTCTTCTTAAAGGTCCAGTGTGTGACGTTGGGGAGGATCCATTATACTATGATAAAAAATACTCTTATTGTTGTACTTCCTGTGAGCTTTTGTCTTATTTTGACGTGTTTCTGATAAAATACAGGATGTGTCACAGAAAAAAGGATTTTATGTTTATATTTGAGCTCCTGACTGGAACAGGAAGTAAATGTTTGTATGGTAACTGTTAATGTTAGTGGTTTCCAACCTGAGGGTCGGGACCCCCACTAGGGGCCGACAAAGCTTCACTGGGGGCTGCGAGGCCTTCCTGAGTTTAAGGCGTGTTAGAAAACTTTAAAACAACATTTTGTTCATTTCAAGCTAAAGTAAATTGTAAATTGGACAATAAAACATTAAATTTGTCAAAAAAGAAGCTGATTAAGTCTGTTTGATTGTTAAAAATAATTTAAAAATACAGAATACAAACAGAGAATCAGATAAAAAAGAAATAATCTGCTCAAAATTCAACCACATCTCTCGTTTTACACAAACTTTCTGCAGTTTCTTGTCCCCAGGTTGTCAAATACAGACACTTAAAAGATAAAAAAAATAAAAAATAAAAGATAAAAAATTCAACAGATAGATAGAAGAAATGAATTTACATTTATGTTCAAATTTCAAATTAAGAGTCCTTCTGAATTACAAAGATTACACCTGTTACACTATGGAAAACATCTTTAAGTTAAGATAAATACCTTGAAATATTAATAAAATTACAAAAATATCCTGTGAATTTACATGTCTGATGTAAAATAATGTGACAAATCTGTAAATAATAATAAAATTACTGCTTATTTAAAGAAATAAAGACAGTTAAAATACATTTGCAGATATTTACTGTTTATTTAATAGATTAAACTAAAATTAAATTCAAGTTTAATACTGCTAATAATTGTTTTACCAGTAAAAAATATATTTATCTGTAATTTTAATGGATTAGTTAGTTAACTGACAGATATCTTGTATAATGATGGAAGTTGAATAAATGTTGTTTATCAGTGTGT